ATATATATATATATAAACCAAGAATGTGTTTTGAAGGTACAGGTTCTTCAAAATATTAAACTTTAACTGTAAACTTTTTTACGTGTGTTAAATATGGTTTCTGTCATTCTGCAGGCAGTATTCCAGAAGAAAAATTTCCGTAGCCCTCTCAGATCATTCACTTCTGGATACAAACTGGAAGATTACATTATAGGAAACCAAATTGGTAAAGGCTCAAATGCAGCTGTGTATGAAGCTACAGCTCAGTTTGATTACCCAGAGGAGCATGATGATGTGAGCTCACCGGTGCAGGTAAAAGATGATGAAGAGAAAATAGAGACCGTACAGTCTTCAGCATGTTGCATYAGAAACTTCCCCTTGGCTATCAAGATGTTGTGGAACTTTGGGGTGAGTAATCTGAAGCACATGCAGGTCCAGAGGGGAAACAAATCTGAGGTTAAACTATCCTAATCATGTGGTAATGTCCTTTGTTTGCAGGCAGGGTCTTCAAGTGAGGCAATATTAAAGTCCATGTCTCAGGAGCTGGTGCCTGCTGGTCCTCTTGCATTAAAACAGGAAAAGGAGCAGATAATACTGGATGGGTAAAATATTTTGTTTACAGATTCTTATCTTTCTGTCATGTTGTATAGATCTGAGCTCAGCAAACATACAGTACTGGTTTCAGACTGAACATGTTGAATTTCTGCTCTCTTTATGTTCAGACATTTTGGAGTTCTGCCTAAAAGAGTCTCCGCTCACCCTAATGTGATCAGAGTGTACCGAGCTTTCACAGCAGATGTGCCGTTGCTAAAAGGTGCCCAGGAAGAGTATCCAGATGTTCTGCCAGCCAGGCTCAACCCTGCTGGACTGGGCAACAATCGCACTCTTTTRTTGGTCATGAAAAAGTATGACCTAACATTTTTTACCCCATAGTTTGTGAGATATAAAGCAGGGTCWTTTGTGTAAATTAATGTCTGTAGCTTTGTTTTTAGTGATACATTCCTAATGTGTTGAAAAGACTCTCCTCATTTTCTATCATTGATGGCAAAGACAGATGTGTCACTGACAATCTAATCATGTTTGGTTCTATAGTTATRCTTGTTCACTGCGACAGTACCTGCAAGTGTCCACACCCAGCTGTAGGCATGGACCCCTGATGGTGCTGCAGCTCCTGGAAGGAGTGGATCATCTTTGCAGGCAGGGTATCGCCCACAGAGATCTCAAATCCGATAACGTGCTGCTGGAGTTTGACTCAGGTCAGATTTAAACASACGTGATCCTGTTGTCGGGAGTATTTTTCTCGATTGTGCCACATTGAATTTGGTGTGTGTGTTTTTCAGATGGCTGTCCCCGTTTAGTAATTACTGACTTTGGCTGCTGTTTGACTCAGAATGACTCTAGCTTACAGCTACCCTTCAACAGCATGTGGGTCAGCAGAGGAGGAAATGCCTCACTTATGGCTCCTGAGGTATGCATAAATACTTCTTACAATAATGGACACTTTTGGAGTTATTTCTTGCACTCATTTAATGGACAATAAAAAAAGCAGAYTTGAAAGTATGAGGATATATTTATGTTAGCTACAGAGATTTGGCTTTAMGCCAGAGGCGATTGCTCTAATGCTACATTCACAACAAACGCTTTGCGTGCCTCCAAAAATCTCAAAACGCACACATRTTAATMCTGGTGTCCAGTGAGGACTGACCCATTTGATGTGAACGTAGACACGCTTCTTTAAACGCTCGAGGGGAGGAGCCTTTTTAACCGTAGTTTCGATAACTTACCAAACATGCCGACTTCCTCGCTTATCGTCCTCCAGGTAAAGTCCTTTTAATTACTATCACGATAATGGACACTGGAATGATCATAAATGATCYGACTACAGTCATATGAAAAAGTTTGGGCAGCCTTGTAAATTTAGCTGATTTTCCTTAATAAGTCGTTGATTGTTTGGATTAAAAATATCAGTTAAATATATCATATAGGGGACAAACACAGTGATATTTGAGAAGTGAAATGAAGTT